TTATACGATTAACGATCAATTCCTTCTGAATAGTTGTTCCATACACTGGACGGAATTATAGTTAACTTTGTATGAGCCCAATTTTTTTTTTTTAATCTAAGCCACAAATAACCTCCGTTACCTTTTGCTAGTTTCCTGGATGTACTCCTAGAGTTCTACTTACGTAAAATCTATTCGTACACCGATCAATTTCCCAAAAAACTTTTCTGCGAAATTGTAGTTTTCTTAATTGCTTTTTATATAATCATTGATATTTTACATATTCTCGGAAGTCTCCAAGATGAATATAGTCCAAACAACATTTACTAATCAATATAATTTGTGAAGTTAACAAAAAAATGCGAAAAGTGGGTAAAGGTATAGAAGCAATAAGTATTTGTACGATACTTATGACTAGACTGCGGATCTTTATGCGAAATAAAATTTTCGCGAACGTGCCTACAAAAATTGAACCTAAATAGGAATTTATTTTATTCTCCAAATGTTATAACATGAACTTTACTTTCAATCTTTTTAATATTCTTGCATGTTGTTTGCATTTTGTAGGTTCTTGCACATTCAAATTTTCTATAAATGCATAAAGATCCGTAGTCTACTTATGACGAACCATTTACAGTAGAGTTTTGTAACGTAAACACATTAGTTTATTGCTCCGTATGAATTAGAAAACATGAAATTTCCAGTAAAGTACTTTTAAAAAAGGTTCTAATAGAGGAATGCTTAATTTAATGCTTAGAAAAGTTACAATGATTATAAAATCAAAAGGAAATCTCACGAAGGAAGTATTATATACTTATAAATTAATGTAAGTTTCTTTTCTTTTTAATCAAGTTTTAAGAATTAAACAGTTGTGCGAATACTTACTGCTTCAATATTTCTATCGATTAATTGTTTTTTTCTTGTTAATTTCGCAACTTACATAAATAGCTATTTTTTTTGTAATCTATCTATTCTAGAGATTTCCGAGAATATGTAGAATGTCATTGCTCTTAAAAAATAAGTTAATAAATTACAATTTTACATAGGTTTTTTGGTAATTGATCGGTGTACAAATACTTTCTACACCCACTGTACATACATATCGCGTTATCCGATTAACGATCAATTCCTTCTGCATAGTTGCTTTCATACACTGAACGGAATTATAGTTAACTCTCTATGAGCTCAATTTTTTTTTTAATCTTGATCAGGGCTTTTTAAACTGTGGGTCGTGATACCAAATGGGGTTGCTTAGCGAAATCTTTGGGTCGCAAGATTTTAATGTAAATTATTTAAATTCATTTGTGACAAGTTTGAAAATGGTGCGCTTTGTATCACTTATGGTGCAGCGAGACAACGATTCAGCTAATTGTAGTGTAAACGTGTGCAGTTTTTTCCGGTGTAGTCAGTTGTCTCTGTTCCATTGTAACACGAGAGTGGACATCGCAGGAATAATATCTATTTATTCGGTAATCAATTTATTAATTATTATATGCAATATGTTATTTTTATATATTTATTGGTCTTAGGATTTATATTTTTTGGATTGCGAAAAAAATCACAATCGTAAATGGGGACGTGAATGAAAAAAGGTTAAGAAGCTCCGATCTAAATTAATGTCGCATCAACACCTAGGTTATTAGTGGCGGGAACGTTAAAGTTTACTAACAATCTTCGTTTCTTTGATGGATTCAGCAGGTCGTGAATCTTACAGTCAGTGTAATAAGTATTCGTACAGAACCAATTCAAAATAAAACTTGATGTATTTATTTTATTAATAAATGTTAGAGGAAGAAATAATTAACCAACACTCCTACATATTTTTAGAGTGAAATTTGCATAAATTAAAGTTTTAAATTAACTTTTAATGTTAGCCTCTTATTTCTTTTCTTATTAATTTTATTTTACATTGGCTGCTGTACGAATACTTCTTACACTGACTGTATCTTTGGTAACGTTATCATTTAGTGTAATTCCTGTTTTATATTTTTTACAAAGCACAATGTACAGGGTGTCCCAAAACTCGCGTAGGAGCCGGAAATGGGGGATAGCTGAGACGATTCTGAACAACAATTTCCTTTGCAATGCGTGAAAAACATATTGTATTTTATAAACGATACGATTATTCTACTAGTGTAAAAATACTTTGATACTTTCAATGCAACCAGAAGGAATACGTGAAGGTGAACAAACCAAAGCATTGCGAAATATAGTATTAAACACAAAACGTTACAAAATGTAAGCTAACCGTCAACCTAAACTACATTCTATATTTATGCAACAGTACTTTCTCAGCGTCCTTTTCATAGTCACAACATGCCCCGAGTAATGTGTCACAACTAGCTTCTCGGGTCGTCATTTCCTGAACCCTATCGCATGTCGATGATACGAGTCTCAAACGAAACTTGGAATTGCTAACGTTATATACAAGGTGGATTTTAATGAATCCAGCTGGATATCTCCGAACGATAGAAGAAAGTTAGACTGTTCCAAGTGGAATCAAAGATGGGGTCACTTTCGGGATTTCATCATGATAGTTTTCTTTTTTTTAATAGACTGCGTTATTTTTCTTGAAATAAAAGTTGCAGCTGGCAATGGGAGAAATGCAACCATTTTTGGATTTTTCAATTCGGCTCTTTTTCAATATCGTCTAAGACCCGCATCCATAAAGTTCATTTTTACATTGTTTTTTTTATACAATCCATACAGTTTATCATTTCATTCACCCACTTCTATTTATTACACCTTTTTTCATCATTGCACTAGATTCACGCAAACCTACTAACAGTAAACCTACTACAGTAATAATTTCCTATCGAGAATTCGATATAAAACTTCCTACGCAATGGCTGCAGAGTCCAACGTATACAAACTTTTTGGTTCTATCATTTTTCTTACGAGAACGTGATATAGTTTCGCGTTTCTTTTCCTTTCATGTCCCGAGTAGCCTCGCAAGAATGAAATTAACTGCAATTCCGTCCAGTGTATTAAAGCAACCATTTCAGCGAGTCGTTACGAGCAAACTGGCTCGGTTAACGCTAATTTTAAGCAGAAAAATTACGGAGCATAGAAAATATTGCGGCCGCTCGACACAATTTTCCCGGCAGACGGTTTTGCGGGACGTTGTGCCAACAAAGGGTTACATAATTCCTCGCATTCCTGGCCAACATATACCACGCTCCCCAGCCACGCTTGCTTCTCGCTTCTCGCACGACACGATACGAGAGAAAGTATTGCGCACGCACATGTGAGTTCGGCGCCGATCGAAATCGAAATCGAAGGAAAATGGATCGCCCTCGGCGCAATCGACTGGCCAACTGTTCAACTTCCATGGTCGTCGATTAACCCTTTGGACTCGAGAGGTGACTCTCAGTCACCACTAGGTTTTCTTTAGGTTTAATTTCTTTGGAACTCGAAGTGCCTCGAAGAAACTCAAAAAAAATTGTCGTTGAGCCAAAGGTGACCTGATTCTCGAATCTCAAATTAGAGATCTCATTTTCAAAGTCGATATAATCTTAGCACTCGTGGCAATAGAATGGTAAGAAAGCATCTCGATTTGCTGGTAGATATCAGAAAAATAGCCTCGAGTGCAAAGGGTTAATACTGTTCCGCGCTCAAGATTTAAACTTCGGCAATTCTAGTGCCTTATTCCTCCAAATTTCACTAAACATCCTTGAAACCTTTCAAAAAAAGGCAACAAAAGTGAGTCGATTCGTAACAACTCTTTGCCATGTTGTGCCATCTTGGAGATCTTATTTTCAAAGTCAATATAATTCTATTACCACGAATGCTAAGAAAGCATCTCGAGTTGCTGGTAGATACCAGAAAAAAAGCCTCGAGTGGAAAAAGTTAACTCTTGGTATAATGTACAACTCCTCGCGCGATCTGGAACCCTTTCGCGTTCTCGGATTCTTCGTTAGCCCCTTGCACTCGAAGCCTTTTTTCTGGTACCTAACAGAAACTCGATATGCTTTCTCAGCATTCTATTGCCATGAATGCTAAGCTTAGATCGACTTCCAAGATGTAGCTTGATTCGTAATTGCAAATTACTTGCGATTTGAAAATCAGGTCACCTTTACCTCGATCATTTTATTGAGACTTCGAGTTCCAAAGAAATTTAACCTAAACGAACATTAATGCTGATTGATGAAACCTAATGGCGACCGAGAGTCAGCTCTCGAGCAGAAAGGGTTAATATACTCAATATGTTTCACCAAACTTTCGAATGTTTTGCGCACGACAATTTCGAAAAAATTTATAGCGGAACGCAAAACAATTCGTCCGACACGTTTGTCCATTGGGAATCAATTACTTTCTGAAATGTCTTGCAATCGAATCAAACATTTTAGATTGTTTTTAATGAATCTTTTAGTCGTTTTCGCTGCATTTAAGATGTGCAATATTTTAGTGTTTTTAAGAAGGAATTAACAAAGAAATGTTTTGTCGATTCTGTATCTACTCACTAGGAGTAGAAAGTAACTGTATCGTGATATCGGCACCAACGTAAATCATGCTATAATTTCGTATGAGGCTGAATTCATTCAATTGTGCAATAACTTTTTCTAAAAATTAAGCTCATCTTCGGAACTTAATAGTATCCGAATTGAATTTACTAAATTAACATACAAAAAGAATTTACTAAAAATCCTTATATTGAATGAATTGATTAACAATAAACACAATTAACATAGAAAGAAAATTTCCTAAAAATTAGTATAAAAAAAGAATAAACTAAAAATTTATGAATGCAAAGAATTTACTAAAAAAGAATTGCATATGACAAACTGCAAATATTCCCCTCCAAAAATGGTAATCATTCCATCCAGAAGCAAACGTTTTATCTCCTTAGAATTCGTCGAGAAACTGTACATACAGTATAGACAGTGATGAACGTAGCGATAGGAATTTTAAGCGCAAAAGTGGTTTGCCATTAGTCTTGCCATTAGTCTTGAGCCATTTACAAGTTAACGGTTGTTGATGGATCGAAGACTTGTCGATAGAAGATTTGTACGTTTACTTACCAACAGAAACGTCAGTGCCACCCCTCGGCAGTCCATGGCTAAAATAAAAGAGAAAGTCTTATTAATAACTGGGTCGAACTCCCATGAGTACGATCGACCGTGCAAACGTCTCTCGCGCGAGAACACTTGCAACAAACGCGAAAAATCGGATCGGAAGCCGTGTGCGAGCCTTTTAACTCGCTACATTCACCCTATAAATCCAGTTAAACGTCTCTCTGGTCGCAACGTACCACGATTCCAGTCTATCGATCATCAGTCTCAACTAAACATCTAACACCGTCGGCACTATTATTCTTCGCACTCGTAAAACAGTTTCGTTTCGGCAGTTCCTTAAATTCATAGAATCAGTCTCTAGGACACTGGGTACACTCGAGGTTATCCTCGAACAAACGTCACATTTCATTTCCAGATGGAGGAAACTTATCGTTCGTGCTACGCTAAACGTCCAACTACCTCGCCGTATCTTTCTCCCATTCATAAGCCAGTCCCGTTTGAACAGTTGCTCGAATACATGGGACCAATCCCTAAGTAATCGTGACAAGTCCCCAACGAATGTCGCGTTCCATTTCGAGGCGACGGAGAAATTGTCGCGTATCGTAAAGTTTTGCATTCGCGGTGATCGGAAATTGGAACGAGGATACTTTCGGTGGGCCGAAGGGTTTATTATTATCGAAGGGTTTATTATCGTAGGATACGGTGGACGTTTTCGAGGTGGTTAGTAGAGCCGTGTCGGGCGCCACGAGAAAGCGACGCGGCGTTTCGCGAAGGTGGCCGAACATAACGCAACGTTCACTTTTTCAAGCAACAAGAGAGGCCAGTGCACGTAACGACCTCGAGCACACTGGACCACCGAGCTTGACCGTAGCCCTTCCACGCGGACGCCATTTTCACTCCAACGACGGCCTTTTATCGTACACTCGATTGCACACGGCGTCGCGACGACACGAATCGCGGGATTTACGAGGCTGGTCGATCGACATCCCGCGAGGTTCTGCCACCTTCGTTCTACCTTTTCTCGCGGCGACCAGGAGAGCCAGGATCGTGTCTCGTGCTGGTGCACTTCGGAACACCAGGGCCGTCTCCGGGGTACTCTATGCCTTTCACCGTCCTTCTCTCCGTTACAAACGCTATTAATCGTTAATTTAAGAGGTAAAACCACTCTAGGATTTTCAAAACATCGATTTTGTGTTTCTTTTTGCTTAAACGATACTTTAGGGTCACGTCATTTGATTTATAGTGGAAAACAAATGTTAAAAGATTCAATTATCGATTTTGCCGCAGCGCCTCAGAGCGCGATTAAAGTGTTTATAAAACTGTAAACGCGTTTTTCTCAAATCCACTTTTTTCAAACTGGGTGGACGGATTTCTAAGTGACTATTGCATGGATCGATCTGAAATTTTTACAGTAGCTTCACAACAATATTCTCTTTGGAAGTACGTAGCTGTTTTTTGATTGAATATACACTTCTTCTTTTATAAGCAATGTAATGCTCATTTTTACGGCAAAAAGTCGCTTCATTGCTTAAAAAGTGCACACTTCCACAAAAATTGATTAAGAACAAGAACCCTACAAACTTCCAAAGACAATTGTATATAGATTACAAAGTTTCTTCTGTTTTTGTTCCATGACTCATAGATCCCGAGAAATTCGTCCTCCCATGGCGGTGTTTTCAAAAAAGCTGTTTTCGACGACGGGCTCTGTCGCCGCCATTTTGTATGAAAATGAAAGTAAAAATTGTTTTTTGGTCTTCAATATGTGTTAAATAAACCCTCTGAAAAGAGATTCTGTTCCATTTGTCACACACCCAAAATAAAATGTCAAATTTGGATCTTTTTTCTGCGTCTAGAGTGGTTTTACCCTATAAGAGGGTATCCTGAATTAGGTCTAAAAAAGCGGTTTTTCGTGATTTTTTTTAGGATGAAAAAGAGTAATTCATTCTGTCGAACTTTTTATCCTATTTTCATACATATTTGAGTAGTCTGTGAAAATGTTTTCAACAAGAAATATTCAAATTGAGTCGACTGTGACGCACATTTGTAGAGCACCTCACAATTAAAACCTCCTATCGGCGTGAAAGATGCAGGTCGTAATTTTGGTTTGACATAAAAAAAAACAAAAGAAATTTTCATTTTTATACATTTTTCTTCTATGTGAACTAAGAAAAACTCGCAAAAATGATGAAATATGAAATTATCGCAAGTTTGAAAAAAAGAACGAGTTCTTTGAGTGAAAAAAATCACTTTAACTCGATAAAAAAGTTATTTAAAGTTTTTTTTGAATGAATTCTTTTAGTTCACATAGAAGAAAAATATATGAAAATAAAAATTTCTTTTGGTTATTTTGTGTCAAACCAAAATTACGACCTGGATTTTTCCCGCCAATAGGAGGTTTTAACCCTTTGTCCTCGAGGTATTTTTCTATAAAATCAAATCCAGTCCATTTTTATAATAAATTTCTGTGAAACCAAAAACTCTACTTCGAAGAAAAACATCTACGAACGTTTATGACTCAATGTATTATTGTTTCAATTAATAATTATTTGTATTCTGATGTAAGTGAATTTGAAATTGTACGTTCACAAAATCACTTTTAAATTATATATGTCGCCCCAGAAGCGCCACCCGAAAGCAAAGGGTTAATTGTGAGGTGCTGTACAAATGTGCGTCACAGTCGACTCAATTTGAATATTTCTTATTGAAAAAATTTATACAGACTACTCAAATATGTATGAAAATAGGATAAAAAGTTCGATAGAATTAATGTGAACCTGGCACCCGACTTTTCAAAAATCAATTTTTTGTTTTGTAGAAAATGATAGTATTTCGTTTGTACTTGATTATACCGACAATAGTTTCGTTTAAACCTTCATCAATTAATAATTAAAAAAATTAAAAAAATGGTCAGTACTCGACATTGAGATTTGTGAAATCTGTTTTTTCCCTGTTCTTTAGAATCGTTTGTACCGCTTTTCGTTTCGTTTGTACCTCAATAGTTTCAATTTTACAAGAAATTGTTTATTCTAAAGAAGAGGGAAAAAACAGATTTCAAAAATCTCAATGTCGGGTGCTGACCATTTAAACAATTTTTGTTAATCATTAATTGATGAAGGTACAAACGAAACTATTGTTGGTACAATCAAGTACAAACGAAATACTATTATTTTCTATAAAAAAAATTAATTTTTGAAAAATCGGGTGCCAGGGTTACATAGCTGAAACTACACCATAATTAGAAATTTGTAATGCGTGTAAATAATTGATTTACCATTACAACTAAAAAAAGAACTTAAACTACGCTTCTTAACAGTCATTAAAAAAAATACATGGTCCGATAGTATGCCTCGAAGGTGCCGGGATAGGCTGTCGTGAAGATATAAGCGTTTACCGCTGGTCTGGAAGATTAGAAATGAACTGAATCTCTAAAAAAGATGAAAAAATCCTGAGTCCTTCTTTTTACATGTGCTCATCTGGCAAACCTCACATACTTTCAAAATATTTAGTTTCAGATTCCAAAAAAAATTGTTTAAACCTGTTATGAAATTTCACTACAAACCTTGAAGTTTGAGAACGTTGTCTTAAAAAACTGTGACGTTCTGACTGAGGAGTGAGGCATACTATCGGACCATGTATTTCTCTTAATGATTGTTAAGAAGCGTAGTTTAAGTTCTTTTTTTAGTTGTAATGGTAAATCAATTATTTACACGCATTACAAATTTTAAATTATGGTGTACTTTCAATGATTTTACAGTGGCTTCTCCCCTTAAATGGGAAGTAAGTAATGTTAGATATATCAAAATCGTAGGCGATCTTTTAACGATATTTAAATTGCTAACCATGAATCCGAAGCACATGGCTGTTCCTTATTTCCTAAAATAAATTACAACAGCAATTTTTAATATAAAACTTAAATAAAAGTAAATCTCTACATACATACAGCTAATTTATTGTGTTTTTTATTTAATAAAAACATATACGTATTATTATAATTTATGTATGTACAAGATTTTACTTGTAGTGTGTCACGAAATTATCGATAAAACATTGTTATGCCGTGAAAGATAAAATATTACGGAGCACTGGTCTAGAGCACTACGAATCGTTGAATCCAACCTAACGATCAAAATTAATTTCGAAGATCAAGTATTAATGAAAATAAATCTGGATAGGATTCGTGAATGTTGAAAGAGTTGCGAAAATAAGTATGACCACAAATAATCGATCACTGTTGTACAATATTTTTAAAATAATTTGCAGGCCAATCTTGGAAATTGGAACAATGTAGTTCCGGTGAACGAGATGAAGTCTAGTCCTATTAATTTTTCGAAGTTTCCTTGTCGGCGTGTCAGTTTCGAAACAGTCGTTTTAAAGTGACGTCCGTTACGTCAGCGACGCGTAGGAATAGGAATCGGAAGAGTTGTATTGCCGTCACGTAGCGTGCCCACGTCACGGCATGTCGGGCGTTCGAGTCACCAGTGACTTCAACTGCTGCAAGAGACGGATATAGTCATCGATATACGTGCGTTCGCATATACCGTTACAAAACCTCGAAATAGACCGATACGATTGTTTCGCGAACATGTATCTAAATGCAATATCTCTATTCGAACACTCAATTTATATGACGTTCAATTTTTATATTATTCTATTCGATCGACATTCTTTTCTCTCACACGATTCGAGTTTTCTGGCAACAGAAATCATCTATTTTTATATTATTTTATATTTATATCATGCCCACATGTTTACATGTTTCCGTCATTTATATTATTATAGTCGATATTTGATTGCGTCAACGAACTATATTCAGTACGTTCCACCGACGAACGCAGGACAAGGGCCTGGCCGTTTTGTAGTTCAGTTATGCAGGAAGTTCGATGCGTGAATGACGTATGATTTACTTTATGTACTTTTATGTCCCCGTACCGTTCATGTGTAATATTTCCACCTATTTAAATATATATCTATTCTATATCCCAGAGCTCCGCAACCGCTGTGCCGCGATGATTTTCTCGAGAATAACAAAACTTTTTAACCACCG